TCCATGATGGCTGCCTTCCGGTTCCCATGCCCTGTGAGGACCTTCCCTGGGCCAGCCAAGTGACCAAGAGAGGATGCGGCAGAAGGATGACCGCTCTCCCGGAGACCAAGCTGGAAGGCCCTGCAGCCACCATCTTGGCTTCTCCATCCCTCCCTCCCGCTCTCTCTCTCTCTCTCTCTCTCCCCCTCATCACTCACTTTGAGGGAAGCCAACTGCCGTGTCAAGCAGCCATATGGCGAGGCTCACATGGCGAAGAACTGAGACTTCTGCCAACAACCAAGTGACTGAGCTTGGAGCCGATCCCTCTCCCCAGTCAAGCCTCAGACGGCTCCAGGCCTCGCTGACACATTGGCTGCCAACTCACGAGAGCCCCCAAACCACAGCCACCCGGCGAAACCCGCCGATGCTTGGCCCCCAGAACATGGGAGACAGGGACTATCTGTCACTTAAGCCACTGCATTTGGAGGCAATTTATAACAAAATAATAGATAACTGGCCCAGGCACGTACTTTGCAGAACGAAGAAGACTTCAAAGAATCTGTCATTAATATCATCACAGGGATGAGAACAGATACTGCATCTGTGAAACATGAAGAAATTATTAGAGAACAAGAATGCTTGGAAGTAAGAAATGATAACATAAATGCAAGTCAGTAGAAGCATGAGGAAACGACTTGACAGAGTCCCCAGAAGGCACAACAACAACCAAAAACAGCAAAGACAGGGCCGGGGATTTAGCTCAGTGGTTCTGGCACCTGCCTGGCAAGTACAAGGGCCCAAGTTTGATCCCTGGTACCAAAACAAAAAGCAGACAATAGGAGTTTGGGCATTAATGGAAAGGGTTAGACAATGAAGACAGGAGGTCTAATATCTGACAAATAAAATTTCCAGAAAGAGCACTGAGAAAACAGGGGAATAAGATTATCAAAGAAGTAACATGAGAAACTTCCCCTTACCTGAAGGCCCATGTCGTCCGCTGTGTTCCCACACCAGGGTCAGACTGAACAGTAGAGGCATACGACGTACATTAGCTTGCTTTCCATTGCTTTAGCAAAATACCAGATCCTGTGCTCTTTCTAAGGAAAAGGAATTTGTTTTACTCAGTTTGGAGGCTAAAAGCCCCAGGCTGGAAGCCTTACCAGTCTGGCCTTGGCAAGGGCCCTATCTGCCATACTGCATGGTGGCCAAGGACATCAGGGCTGGGTGTGAGCAAGAGGAAGATCACACAGTGGATGGGAAGCCAGAGAGCACCTCTCCAGGGTCCCACAGGACACTTAGCCCTTTTTGAAGGTGATGCCCCAAACTCCGTCACTTTCTGTCCATCTCTTGGTCCCCACCACCTCCACATAGCCATCCCAAGGACCACACCTCCAACACATGGGCTCCTAAGGGACAGTGTGAACCACATCCACACTGTGGCACATGCCCAGTGACATACTGAGACACCAAGGATAAGAGCTTCTGGAGAGAAGACCAGTTCATGCAGTAGGAACAAAATCACAATGGCATCAAACTTCTCTACCATAGCACAGAAACAAGAATTCAGTGGAAAAGTGCCCTCGATTCTAGGTAAAAGTAATTTCCAACACAGGATTATACACTCAAGCAGACTGCAAAGTGAAAGTGGGAACAGGAAGAGGGACGACAGGATGTTATGAGAGGATGTGCTCCACTGAGACTAGGTAGTATAAAAACAAAAGCTGGAGTTGCCCAGCCCGGGGAAGTGCACACTGTAACCCAGCAGTGAACAGAAGGGAGTCCTGGCCGTGAGCCAGCAGCAGCCTGAACAGCGGGCTGAGTGTCCTGAGCGCGTGTCCGGGGACATCAGAGCAGCTGCTACAAAGAGAAGAGAATGCTGAGGTCTGACTGTGAGGAAGGCTGGCGGAGAGGCTCACTGGAAGGTGTCCCAAAACCTAAGCCATTATAAACTCCAGGTTAAACAAAGAGTCTCACAAAGGAACAACGCTGAGACTGTCACAATAAGAGAAATCTTAATGTGGATTTAACAAAAATGTAGACATCACTGTTTGGGTGGAAGTGAGCTCAAAGCCTGATCTGCCACGAAAGAAAGTGCAAAAGTGTCATCTAAAACTGATGAACTGCGACGTTCCGGTGTATAGTCTTTTGATATCCAGGAGTGAATTCCAGAAGCAACAGAAGGGCAAAGGGAAGGAGACTGCGGGTGTTAGCGATGGAGGACTGTTCGACTGTAAAAGTATTTCCATGTTGAGTCTTAATTTAAAAGGGAGAGAAGAGTCGATTTCACCTCTTGAAAATAAAAAGATCCTAGGGCCGGGGATTCAGCTCAGTGGTTTCACCACCTGCCTCGCAAGCACAAGGACCAGAGTTCCATCCCCAGTACCAAAAAAAAAAAGAAAAAGAAAAAAATCCTAGGGCACCAAGGAAAATCATACCAATTCCTTCCAGTCATGTCATTTGTATGTTTGAGTAAAACATCTCGGTGGTATGATGTTGAAATAAATACAGGTGTTTTTTCCAGCTTCACACAGTAGGTAACCCAAAGCAGGCTAATGGTTTTGCCAAAGGGACAAACCAGGGCATAAAAGAAAGATGGAACTGTAGGACCTGCAGAGACCTTTTGGGTTTCTGGCCCAAACCACTCACCCACTCACTGCTGTGTAAACTGAACCCCGGGAGGCTGTGCTAGCCCGGACTGCAACACTACAAGCAACCACGACTGAGCCTGGGGCTCTGGCTGGCCAGGACCCAGTCTCCCTTAGGAAGCCAGAGCGCCTGAGCTCCATACAGAACCCTCAAGGGTTCTGTGCACAGTGGGAAGATGCAGCTAGACAAGGCGGGAGAAAAGGAAGGCTGAAAAATTAGTGCTCGGTTCACCTAAGGCAAATGAGACTACATCCAGAGTCTGTGCCACACACTTACAAGACTCAGCCCATATTCCGATCCTTTTCCAAAGAAATTAAAAACCTTACAGACCTGGGCAAAAAAAAAAAAAACAGCATGAAGGCTAACAGGTTCAAATCAGCACAGGACCAACCAGCCCTAGGGCCAGGCTGGGGCAGGGCCAGGGCCAGGGCCAGGGCCAAGGCCAGGGCCAGGAGTAAGAGCAAGTCCATCCAAGAGTCCGACTTCAACAATGACTCGATTTTCAAACAAAAAGAACTGGATTCACACATGTAGAGGAGGTTTGGCCTGCAACACAGTTCTGTTACCCAGGGGTGAAGGGGCTTTCTTTAATGCTATCTCAGTTAAAACATCAAGGCAGGTAGAACCATCCAGACCCTGGATTCATGTCCCAGCAATTGGGCTCACCAGCCAGGGGACCGTGGGGCTCTGCCCAAGGAAATGACCATGTCCCCACCTCCCAGAGTCATCCACAGGACACGCTGGAGATGGCACACAGCAGTGCTGGGGAACCTCTTACACCTTTAAGTGATACAAACAGCTCACCGTGAGTGCCAAAGGCTCACCACCAGTGACCTGGAAGGTCCTCGACAAATGTGACAGGCCGTGAGGCATCGGGTCAGTGCATCACACAGACATGAGGTTTAAGCAGACTTCTAGAGAATCTTTAAACCAGGGATCCACAAACAATGGCCCAAGGTATGTATTTGTGGCAGTAAAGTCTCACTGGGACCCAGCAAATTCTTGAAGCTGGAGACATTTGCTACCTCGTCCTTCACGGAAAGTGTTTGCCAGGCTCCATGTTGAGCAGTTGAGGATGACAACAGGCAATATGTGAAAGTCACTGGGAGCCCCGGGACACGTGAAAGATCACATGGCCATGAAAAGAAACATGGCACTGACTCTGCTACAACACGGATAAGCTGTTATGCTAAATGGAAGAAACCAGTCACAAAAGTCCACGTGTGCGGTTCCATTTAACGGAAATGTCTACACATACTGAACAGCCATCGGTCAACCCCACGAAGGTCCTAGGGGTGGACCACATCAGCGTAGAAGGTGTGACAGAGAAGCTGGGAGTAGCAACACCCTGGCTGGGGACAGGCCACCTAGGGAAGTGGCTCTCACTGCCCCCTGGCAGGAAGACAAGCAACTTCCACATCTCAGTGAGGACCCATGGGGCCCCTTGAGGCCAGTGTCCCTGCCAATACCCCGACTCAGCTGGAGCCTCACCCTCTCCCACTGCAGGTGATCACAGAAGCCAGCCTTGCCCTCTTGCCCCCGCCCCACCC